AAACTATCAGCAAGATATTATCTTATTGCCATATCATTTGTTCAGCATATAGGTTATAAAAATCTCATTATTTATACATCTTTCGTCATAACCTTATGATAAAATGACATGCTGTACTTTACTTTTAAGGCATCAATTTTACTTCAACTTCTTGGGTGGGTATTCCTACCTGTGTATATTGCAAGTGGAGTACGTTGCCGTCGGATCATATAATTTCTTATAGGTATTTACGTTGCCCGAGTACATGAAGAAACGATATGGCGGAGAAAGAATACATATGTATCTCGCTCTTTTGTCTCTCATACTATATATTTTTACAAAGATTTCTGTAAGTTGACAGATTTTAACCTATACATCTGTGTATTTTTGGCCATTTGAAGTGTATTCATGCGGATATTTGTATATTTATTTAACATATATTTATACAAAGATGTTATCGCTGATATATTCTCCATTTTTGATCAACACACCCAACTACTTCACTCACTAGCCAGAGTAGGCATCGATGCAGATGGCCACTGAAGATTTATTTGGCATTTAGAGGATACGTGACTTGGCCCAAACACTTACATTGTTAATCAAAATATTGAAAAAATTCCACCTTTTGCCTTGTCTTCACTAACCCTAGTCATGTAGTCATCATCAATACAAAATCTGGAATATATGTGTATTCTATTTGCCATAACTTACACGAAAACATAGAAAAATAAGATGAATAAGATGAGAAGCAAAAGAAAAGACTTGATTTTAGCTACAACGTGTATCGAGACACAAAAGATACTGGTCAATAGGAGTAAATGATCTCGAATAATAGAGAACGAGCGATGATATTTAACCTGAAATTTAATTAAAGGTAAAGTACTAATGTGATTTTACCGTCGAGATAGATTTTTGGCTATATTGTCAAACACTACCATTCATTTAATTTTGGTATTACATTAGTCAGGCTTAAAGTGTACCGTTTTCTAGAGGTAAGCAGTGATGGATCTCAATAAAAATGAGAAATTGAAATGCCCTGATAATCGTGAATTAATATGACCGATCCGAATGTTTTTGACTATACGATTATATTGATTTTTCAGTCACACCAAGGGGGGAATTGCGTAACTGAAGCATAACTAGTTGACAGTTAAAATTATTTCCAAAGTGTCCCGTCCATCATTCTCATTGGTTAGCTCGAAAATAGGCAAAACTTGTATCCCTTCTTACGACTGCTTCACTAGCTGTGAACTCAATCAGTCTTAACGGCTGTCTGGCGTTAAACATTCCTAATACTTTGAGATTAGATGGTGGTTGGAGGTAGTCGACAGGAAACCCTGGACCCGGTTTTCGTGCTATTTCGCACTCGTCAGCAAGGTGTACCTGTAATCTTGAGGGAACTGGTGCTCTCTGGCGGATTCGATCGCTTGTCATCCAGCTTCACAGCCAGAGACGTTACCACTGAGATATCCGAGCCTCAACTGACCTCCTGTAGGACTGAGATGTAATCACTATTGATTGATCACTGGGTGGCGACCAATGTTATGCGTGTATAGTCCTTATTAGTGCAGATCGAATGCAACATGATCGATAGCATTCGGTCTGCACTAATAAGGACTAGACATGCATGACATTGATCGCCACCCAGTGATCAATCACTCGTGATCCTTAATACTTTCTCTACCTCATTTGTTTTTGTTACGCACTGTTGCTCTCAGTCACTGTTAAGAAGTTCTAAATTATATTTTTAAGTCTGCTTCTGTCATAGTTTTCATAGCCCATCAGCGTGAGTTTCAAAGCTAGTATCAAACTAGTTTCTTGTTTCTGATACACCAATACTTGAGGTCATCTCTTGGGGGCATTTTTACTGAGATTTTCCTAAATCTAGTAGAACGCATACAGACACTTGTTTGCACCAATGCATTATTAGAGTTCACATATGTGCTAAAGATCGAATACTAGCATCATAGTCTATCCAAGTTCGGATTTCGATAGTATGGTCTAATTTTACCCGCCAGTGAATGAATTTCCGAATTCGCAAGCCAGTTCATTCTTTTGAATCAGTAACTCATACTTATTATAAGTAAATAGTTATGTGAACATAAATACAGCAGCCAGTCAATGCCATGTATTCTAAGGGCTGGAACGTATCATAAAAAATAAAGTCTAGATTATCATGTTGTCAGAAAATCAATCAATTCATGTCAATAAAAGATATTTTAATACAAATACTAAGAAGCTTAGGGTATTGCGTACATCTTGAAACCAAAAGCGATAACTGAAGATCGAATTTACTACATAATGACTATGTTTCACTTCTCTTAACAGTCAAAAACACAGTTTGCGGAGTTTGTTAGAAATATTATTTGAAGATAAGTTTTTATTTAGTGTTGTTAAAAATCTGAACTTCAATTCCTTCCAATTAGACTTTGAGGTCAGATAACTTTTTTAGATGAACAATATTATTGTTTTTGCACCACAAATATGATCAAAGTCTATTCCATCAAAGTGTGCTAAGACATCGTCTTTGAAAATAAAGCTAAACCACCCCCATTTCTTAACCTGGCTCAGACTCTTTACAACTTTTATGTACTAGCTCAAAATGTGAAAGCGTAAAATCCTTGAAACACGTTATATAATATTTGAACAACCTGTAAAAATAACAGTCACCCGAATCTAATCGCTTTTGTTTCCTTGGGTTACAGTCGGAAGTAACATGAAAAGGAGCTCTTGTCGTTTTATCGCCAACTGTATCTATAAATTTACGTGTACCTGCCAAAGCAGCTACATCGGCCGAACTGATAGGAGAGCATATCTTAGATTTTTTGAACATGTTCCAAAAAGTCTTAGAACAAGTGAAGGGAAGACTGAATAGTGCAATCACCAAACATCTCCTTGATACAGGACATCAGGTACCTCAGGTACATCAGATACCTTACAATCCTTTAGGGTGATTAGTAAGCAGCCAAACTCCAGTCTTCTGAAGTTTGCTGAAGCCGTTGCCATCAGACGTCAAAAACCTGACCTGTGTGTTCAAAAGGAGACGGTTGTTAATCTTTCGTTGCCTTGGTGACAAATATTCTGTCGCTGCACCTTAAAATTTTCTTCTTTTGTATTTATTACGTCATTGATTTTATTTTTTTATTTTTTAACTATCTTTAAAATTAATGATCTTTCAAATAAACTCTACTCACTATATTTCTATCAATGTTTATTCATCATGTAACCAACTGTTTCTAACCCCTTTTGAACTGTTATCACAATTAATGCTGTAGAATATTCTTTCACATTAGGTATATATTTACAGTATTCAGTCTGTTAATTTCATTTACACCTATGATATACTTTACGAATATGTCTTCAATATAACCTCCAAACAAACCCTCCCATGTAAGCAATTTAAACCCATTATGTAATTATGATTTTTAAATATCACAGGTTGTAAGCGGCTGACGAGAACCTACGAAATAAACTGAATTCATGCTATTCTGCTAGAATCTTTGTTCTTGCTCTTTTCAAAATGATAAAGGAAACTATGTGTATGAAATAATTTGTTACCAATAGTTGATATTATCCATGCAAGTATATAATTGTAAACTGTTGATTTTAGGTCAATTTATATTCAGGTTCACTGTTTTTAACTGAAGCATTAAAATGGAATACTTGGGCATCAATAGTTATGCTGCTTTTCCTGACTGGTCTTATTACTGTTACCGGTAAGATTCCGTGGGTATTTTGTCTAAATTTTAAACAAGTATCAAGATGTATTCGAATCGTTACGTTTATTTGAATAAGTTATTATAGTCTCTGAACGACCGAAATTGTGTCTAACAAAATATAAAATAATCGATTAGTAGGTTTCATAATCATCAATGTACGTTGGCTTTATATACTGTTTTGCTGGGTGTGGGCAGTTTTATAAAACAAATTTAAATGACCAACCTTATGCATTTCAGTTTACTCTATTGTATTTGCTTAAATATAGGAGTTTCGTTGTAAGATCGTTCCTAACGAGTGTCAAAAGGAAACGTAAGTGTCATGTTCATTTTTGTCATTATAAAAGTTTTTAAATCAATCTCAATTTATATAGAAAATACAAATATTTATTTGCGATCCTTGCTGTTCAACTTACCGCTTTACGTGTGAAAAGGAGTATTACGTCCTTGGGTTGCTGAAATAGACTTCAAAATAAATAATTTCACTTCGAAGAAAAATTCGTAACTTTTCTGTAAAGAAGTATTTTTGGACAGAGATCTACTCTTTGAATAAAAAGCACAAAAAAGGTTATAATACTCTCCTATCATTCTCTTTGAAACCCTGTTTCTTCTATTATGCAAAAGCACAAACTACCTCAGTCTACATGATTTGGTTAGGTATTGATGCAAATGAATGCTGAAGCAATATTTGACATTTAGACAAAGAATAGCCCATCTAAAACACTTTGTCGGGAACGTTAATCTAAAACTACTTACAAGTTATCTTTATGTAAGGGAATCGGAATTCTAGTTCCTAAGATCGCCGCATTGGTAATCCCTTCTATATACCTTATACAAAACACCATTTCTTTCTCTTTCGATAAAAAATAGTTACTCTATCTTTGAGGTCTTTGTACATTAGTTTATATGCATATGCTGTATGCTTAAGTCAATGTTCTTTGGTCTTCACTTGTGTATCTTCATGACACAAGCTTTCTAGAGTAGACAGGGCTAGGATTAAAGAGGAATTGTCTTATCTCAGTATTCAACTTACATTCAGGAGCTATTATCGTCAATTTCAAGACTTATCACTGTCATAGTGTTTCACTTGGCACCAAGAGAGCCTTGTATTTTGAATTTTCTTCACAAAACCGAGTCATTTAGTCATCGCCAATACAAAACCTGGAATATATGTGTGATCTATTCGCCATAACTTACACGACAACATAGAAAAAGAAGACAAATAAGATGAGAAGCAAAAGAGAAGACTTGGTTTTAGCTACAACGTGTATCGAGACACAAGAGATATTGGTCAATAGGAGGAAATGATCTCGAATAATAGAGAACGAGGAATGATATTTAACTCGGGTTTATTCAAAACCACTCCACACAGATCAGGTATTTAACTACAATGACGTTAAAGCTTTGTTTAAATTTTGAGGGTCCTCTGCAGCACGTCTACACTATGAGAAAATGAAGAAAAATATCAAATGACATTTTAAAATATTATCTATCCGCACAACTTCTCCAAAGAATGTCTATCAAACTCATCAACAGGGACAGAATTAAGTGTCCAAACCGACAACAAACAACTTACGGGAAATTAAATCCAGATTATTACATCTCTTCGAAATAGGCATAGCTGATAAACCAATCAGTTTTATACCAACCAAATTATAAAGTGAAAAAAGAAAGAATGGCAAACACTGTTTAGACAATAAACTGCCCTTACTGCAAGAAACATTAAATCGAACGAAGTGGCTGCGCTCTTCAGCTTCGTCTGCGTTAACACCAACTAGCGATGTATTTCGCTTATATCATTGGTGGTAGACAATTGTGAAGACACGCTCAACTGGGAAAATGATGAGATCTGGAAGAGAGGAACTACCAAGATAACTAGATAATTTCTAGAAACTTGGCATTCATTTCAATCAATAAACATATCAAAATCGATCCAATTTATTAATCATTTAGAGGAATCAATCAAAAAATCAAGATTCAGGTCAGTGAAAGACAATCAAGATAAATATTCAAGCGATGACAAAATAGAGGTCAACAGCATTTTATCAAGCTCAACATAACAAGCTGCTGGTCATAGGTAGATAAATCCATGTACCTCACTCCCATCTGAAGTTTGTTCTGATGATGTCTTCTGGAAAATAATGAGTTTCACATTTGAAACCTCCTAGCTCAGTGAACATAACTCAATCAAAATCCCAATAATTCTCCAACTGTTTGCAATTGAATCAGTTTGTCGTTTAGGGTTAAGCTACCATTCTTGGTCGGATTGCTATATTTGTTTTATTTACTCAAGTCACTTACAAGACACAGTGAATAGATTCTAACGTATTGGGAACTATTCATAGTTAATAGAAATAAATATTCCTCGACGGAATGATTTCAACATGAATAATATAGGCCTTCGGATTGGATATAATGTTGTCTTAGTTTCCTATTTAAAGCAAAAAGCAGAAATAAGCATAGAAAACTAGTCAGTTTTAACTCATGTCATGCATGACCTTAGTATTCCATAAATCATGCATTAATGTTAAATAGAATTTAATCGGTTTTTAGATGACTAAACTGACAAATGTATTGAACACTCCAGAAGTGATAAACTGATACTTACTCACTTACTTATGCCTGTTATTTCTCGTGGAGGAGCGTAGGCCGCCCACCAGCATTCTCCATCTAACCCTGTCCTGGGCAATCCTTTCCAGCTCTTTCCGGTTGTAATTCATCCTTTTCATATCTGCTTCTATTTTCCATAGTAATAAACTGATGAATTTCGTTGAATTTTGAAACAATTATCATCAACGATGAATTCCAGTCACAAATAAAACTACATAAAGGGATAAGTATTTAGGTTTATTATAGATTGCTTCACTCAAATGTATACATAGTTAGTCTCAGAATTGTTGTAACGGGTGTGGACTGACTGCAGGTTTAGATACGCAGCGTTTATTATCGATCGCTTCTGTGACAGTGGGCACGCAAACATGTAAGGACGACCTAGTGCCCTGATTGGCCCTGCCTCGCTGTCTGTCCCAGCCAGTTGAGTCAAGAACACAAGTCACAGCCTCGGAGTTATGAATCATTATATTTCAAACATACTTTGTTTATATACCAACCAAGCATACCACATCGTACCATAAAATAGGAAACAACATTTACAAAATATTTAACAAGTGAAATAAACATCGACCAATAAGAAATGTACATTTAAGGTTCAAGGACACCATTGGACTTAACATGATAATTATTGGTCTCTTTTTCCGACTATCCTAACAAGAATTCAATTCTTATCTTCATTTAGAATTCTTTTTTATCAATCAGATTATGGCTTAAAATAATCATTATATTGTGTTGAATTTACTGTCATATTTGAATTCCTACTGTAAGACACGACAAGTATCAATAACTTTATTCTACTAGTTAAGTTAAGTGAGTTCTATCCAGAAACTATGGAAACTATAGTATTTAACCAGCTGTAACGTTCGCAAACCAGTTATAATGGTCTGACTCTACCGCATCTGTGACAATACGAGCAAGAAAATTGCAAGAATATTGAGGTGTAGTTTGCTATACAAATTACATTGTCTGGTATTTGATGGCATTCCTGAAACTGATAAGGTTTATATCCTTGAGACCGCCGGTTTTTCTGACAAATACTAGAGTTATGTAATTTGATTAGCAAGATATTGAATTGTGTACGCGAATCGCTGAAGCAGCCGTTATTAAAACTAGGGGTGATACAAAAGTTTTTAGCAGTGTGTAAATGAAAAAACAAGATTTAGATAGATTTTTCGCAAGTTTTAGAGTGCTTATACGAGCAAAAAAAAGCAATCACGAGGATATGCTTTACAGATTGACTGTTTAGCAATAGATCGAATTTTTATTATTAAAAACACGAAATGAGCTGTTCTATATCTACCGAGGCAGAGTATATGGAAGTAATCGGTAACAGCTTCTAAGTAAGTTGAAGATGGTGGAGTTTTCAGGAAGCATAAGATTTCTGAACAAGTTGTATACTTCTTTATTCGTTTCAGTAGTGAAACAGGAAAAGATTTTATCTGAATTGCTTGATCAACATTATTTATCAATCCATTGTAAACAGCCTGTGGAAATACACAGAAAGGCGACTGTTCATGGTTTTGTTAAAATGATCAGTGTTCAAGATCTGATACTGATACACAACATCCTACGCATTAGCCACTCAAACTGACTATTTGGGTGAGAAGACAAGACTGGAATAGAAAGTTTGTTGAGCTACCGAACATTATCCATGTGGAGGATCCCAAAAACATGAAAAATATTGTTCAGAATAATGTCAATATTAATGCATAATGAAGATAATCGATTTCATTTATTCACTCTTAATTGTTTCAGGTGGATTAGCAGCTGTTCTATATACAGATACACTACAATTTTTCGTGATGATAATTGGTGCTTTAATATTAGCGATAATAAGTAAGTTTATTGACTAACTACTATTGAAGCTTTAAAGCTCAAACAATTTTGAGATAGTCATTGAAAATGGATTTATCTGAAGTAACTTGTTCGATTCTTATTTTTCCTATCAAAACGAATGTATTTCTCAATAGATATCAAGAACTGGAACTCTATATTTAACAGTTTCATAAATACCAATTACAAATTACCTCTGATTTGCTTCTCAGCTCTCTGAGCTAAGATCATGTGTGTTCTGATTTAATGGTGATAGCTAGTTCTTTATTGTCATATTCTTTATTTCTTTTTTAGCCCTAATATAATACCAATAGCTCCCGTTAAGTTGGTTAATTACTTGAAATATGAGAATCATTAAGCAGTTGTTACTTATCCATTAACTTTAATGAAAAATTGCATACAAACGGCAATATAGAGATGAAAATGGATTCGACGATGAATTTAACATTCATACCATATGATGATGTAGAACAAGATAGTTCACTAATTCTAATGGTTTGACGAGTTTATACTATAAGTCTATACCAAACAAATATCTAATGCCATAACTAAAAGAGAATTAATACTATTCTTCATCAGCACTTAATGGTGTCGTTATTAAGATTAGAGTATGATAAAAAGTTTACTGTACAAGTCATTTCTCCAACTAACCAGTATATAGAAATTTTAAAACTAATCTCCCTGTCAATAAAGGTTAAATATTATTTGGCAGTATATACTTTACTGATGTTCTAATGCTAAGATCTGATTTATACCATATAGGCTCATTAGAATCAATCCGAGAACAATTCGAAATATTTTATTGATTTTTATAAATCTTCAAACAAGAGCTATTCAAAGTTTATAGAAATGCAACCGCCGTCTACCTTGATGCATGATGTTGGTTGCTACAGCAACTTGACCGATATATATGTGTCAGGTCTAATTTTACTAATAACTGATTGCATTTGATTTTCTATTCTCAAAATTCTGAAGAAATAGCATGTTGGATAGCTCATTTTAAAAGGTTCATTTGTCCCAACACATGTTTCGTAGTGGCTAGTAATGGAGTCCATGATTGATTATTGATTTCATTAAGTTTGTTAGCCAGCTATCTGGGTTGATAGTAAATCGTTTCATGGTTTTAAACAGAGCAAGAACATTAAACTTCGAAGAATAAAATAATCAGTCTTCCTCTGGCATGGTAACTAAGACTTAATCAAATAACCATTGAGTTTTTTAAGAGAGTTTTTCGTCTTCTAATTTTCATCTTCAACATGTTCTTACTGATTTTCATACGAATTTCATTTTCCTTTCTATTCATGTGGAATAATTATACAACCTTCTAGTAATTTCCTTATATTTATGTAGTCCCCTTTTACTTTCGCTATGACTACTAGTAACTACAACGTCGCCTGTTCTCCTCCGAGTTATTACTTCCCAACATATAAATGCAGTGTCATGCGCAACACAAAGCCTGACAAGTTTACACAGCTGCAAGTTGCTGTACCACATCGCCGGTAAGAGCAGAGGATATTCGTAGGTTACTAGTATTTGATCATAGATGTCTTCGATGCATGCTTGTATATCCTGGGACCACCAAGTAAGTAATGGAGTTGTTAGGAAACGGGCACTGGGTAAGGATGACAAATCAATTGATGAAGTAGTGAAACTTCATCATTTAAGGTGACAGGGATATGTGTTACGTATTCCCAACCAACGACTGTCCCGACGAGCGACGTATTATGGTGTAGGAATAGGTTGGAAGGGAGCTAGGTGCGGCCACACCAAAACATGGCACAAATCCATGAAGTCACTGACAAGTGGACTGGGCCATGTTGGTAGGTGTAAACTACCTGGTTGAGATCGGCGAGACGATAGCAACTGGTGGTTAGAGACCTTGAATTACATGGTTCAAAGTCGTTTGCAATTATGCAGGTGCATCCACTCCTTATGTTCTCCCAAATTCTAATCCTCTAAATTCTTCATGTCCCTTTATTTTTTTCCCTTTCCGAATTTATTTCACTGTGTTATACTCCTTGAATAACATCTTCAAACCCTAATGTTTCTTGTTGCTGCTTATACTTTTACTACCTCTACGACTATGGGATTTGAATCGACAATTGTATTTAAGTGTTAATGTGGTATGACAACTAGAACTGATGTACGTATGTACGAAGTTCTGCGTTGTTACTGACTGACTGGCTTTAGCACAACAAAAGTGAATCGCCAGGGATGGATAACTCCAAATGTCAATGCCTTTATGGAGTAATGCCATGTTTTGACATTGGTACGATCTATTTTGTTGAAGATACAGTTTAAAAATAAGAATGTTAAACGTTTATTTTTTTAGAATTTAAAAAACCAACTATTCAAAAGACGAAAACGTCAATACTACTGTAATCAAGAAACGTTAAGTATCCGTCAAACGTAAAGTGTGAAACAATACCTAGATTTCTCTTCAAATATCATTGCAAATACTATGATTACAAATATTTTTTAAGGAATTTCACAAATGGTCGGTTTAGTTATATTTACACGTAAACGCTGAAATTTCATTTTTCTGTTTATTTATCTAGGCTACATAAATGTTGGAGGCTTTAGTGGTGTCCTTTCTTCTTATGGTCATGCTATAGCCCCGATAAATATCTCATCAAGTACAGATTCAGACATAATAATCAGTTTGGGGAATGTTCTTAACACAACAAATTATACTTCACTAACTCAATTGGCAAGTTCACCAGATGTCCCTTCTAGTTTGAGATGTAGTCTACCACCTGAAAATGCATTTGTATTATTACGTGGAATTGAGGATCCTGATATGCCATGGCTTGGGTTTTTACTTGGTCAAACACCCGCATCTATATGGTATTGGTGTACTGATCAGGTATGTCATCGGAAATAACAATTAACCAAGTTGTATACCTTGAAAGATGACCGTATATTATTTTATTGTTAACACTTGTTTGTAGTTCAATTGAATATCAATGTGTAATGAAAGGTCAAAAATAACAGGGAATACTAAACTTTCCAAATATGTTTATTTACTTTAGCCTAGAATATTATTGCTTAGGAGCAGTTATATAATCCTCAAATTACTGTAATCAGTTCTTATACTTGATTTTATGGCCTAGTTATATATGTATTTTGGGTATCAGATATAAACCTTTTGGACTAGAACCAGTAGCAATGATCTACCTCTATGCTTTGATGATAACGATAATAGTGACATAAATTCACAACTGCGCATAAGCTATGAGTAACACTCAGTAGCTAGGTGGATAACGCGATGGCGTTTGAAGCGAACGGTACTACTGGGTTCGAGTCCTAAACATCAACTCTGAGATGTAAGTACATCCATATGACGAGTCCCAAATAGGACGAAACGTGTGTCAAACTAGGTTCCACTACTAGCCACTATCCTTCTTTGCTTTAGAAAAGCTTGTAACTTAAGGCTTTATCGAGGTAATCCGTACAGTATGTTTCATTTATCTACTTCTCCTTTTTTACAGCTTTTCTTTATTGTATAACTTAACAGTTAAACTTTTTTGTTTTTGTTTAATACAATACAGATGATGGTACAACGTGTTTTAGCTGCAAAAAGTTTATCACATGCTCAAGGTGCCACATTAATGGCCGGTCTTATTAAACAGTTACCTTTATTTTTAATTGTAATACCTGGAATGATAAGTCGAATATTGTTTCCAGGTAAATAAAATGTTATTTCTGTACAATTTAGTTTCAAATGTATTGTATTTGAGTTTATTAGTTTTTTGAAAGGTTTAGTTTATTTCATAGTTTACGATGTAAGCCAATTCTTATTTAGTCTATCCTTTTTAGTTTTTGAGAAACCTGTATAACTAGTTGAGAAAACGGTTCATCAGTAACATCCAATTCTTTGTTAACAACTCTTGACTTACCTATAGGAATGTTAAAAGAGTACCTGTCTCCCTAATGAGTCAGGACAGTTGTTAAACATAATCTGTTGTCACTACCCTTTCTATCTCTTTTGAGTCCATTGTTCACCACTGTGCACAATAATTACGTAAATTTTAGCCAGCTTACTTTATAGTTGACATTGACCTTCATCGTTCTCCAAGACTGTCAAAATGAGTTTTTGAAGATTTATCAATTCAGTATATGCCACTGGAACTCAATGATGTTTCACAATCATTGATTCGGTACCTTTTCAAGATCTGTCGCTAGCGATAGAAATCTGTGTAGTAATGTGTGGTACAAAGTTTTAAAAACCAATCTTTTATACCCTTTCTTCTCTCTTGTGGAAAGGCAGCATCACTTCAAATGCTAGTTACCTGAGAAAACACATTACTACCGTCACATCTCAGTACAGTCAGCAGTGAAACCTCATCTTTCGACCATAAATTTTCTGCCCGTAGTCCCACTGCTCTTTATTCAACCTGCCTATCATTACTTACTTACTAACTTACTCCTGTTACTCCCAGTGGAGCATAGGCCACCAACCAGTATCCTGCAACCGACTCTATCCTGAACCTTTCTTTCTGATTCTATACAATGCTTGTTCATTCTTCTCATATCTGTCTCTATTTCTCGGCGTAATGAGTTCTTTGGTCTTCCTCTTCTCCTTTGGCCTTGACGATTCCAAGCGAGGGCTTACCTTGTAACGCACTTGGGTGCTTTCCTCAATGTGTGTCCTATCCACTTCCAGAGCTTATTCTCGATTTCTTCCTCCGTTGTGATCTGGTTTGTTCTCCTCACAGTAGGTCGTTGCTGATAATGTCTGGTCAACGGATTCGAAGTGTTTTGCGTAGACAGCTGTTAATAAACACTTGTATCTTCTGGATGATGGTCCTTCGTAGTTGTTCAAGTTTCTGCTCCATACAGTAGAACCGTCTTGAAATTTGTATTGAAAATTTTGACTTTGTTGTTGGTTGATAGTTGTTTTGAGTTCCAGATGTTTTTCAATTGTAGATATACTGCTCTTCTTTTGCTAATCCGTTCCTTCACATCTGTTTCTGATTCACAGTGTTCGTCAATGTTGCTGCCCAGATATGTAAAGGTTTTTACATTTTCCAAAGCTTCTCCATCAAGTGTAGTTTGATTGGTATATGTTGTGTTGTACCGGAGAATCTTGCTTTTCCATTTTTGTATATTAGGACCTACTGCTGCTCAGGCTGCTGCTACACTGGTCGCCAAACTTCGCCTGGAGCCCTTCTGATGTTACTGTCGGTCCCAAGCCCAGATAAAGGAGGGTGGTTGGGTATAGGGTTATCGACCCCATTCCGTAGAAAACTAACTCGCTAAAAATAAAACATTAACCCCAACCTGCCCAGCATAGTAGGACTTAAATGAATAATTGTCCCAGCCAATATAGTTTAATTGTATCGTCCTAAAATAGTCACAGTTATGGTTGATCACTATTTAGTGAAATGTTGGATTATTAACTACTGAATAATTGTTGAATACATTGACAAATTCAATGAAGACCAAGTCTAGATTTATGTTCTTGATGCATTAAAGTATCAGGGACAGATTTCACAAACTATTTAACACATTTGTTATTGTACATATCATAGTGACATTGCAGTTATCGCACTATCTAGGATTTAGAAATGATCAAATATGGTAGTGTGCGTATATGTTTGTCAAAACTACCGATAAAGATCTTAATTGAACAGTAAGTTTTTTATTACAGTGATCAATCTAATTTACATATTATTATTCGTCATATTCATAGATAAACAAGCGTACAAGAAGCAATACATAACTAACTAAACAAACTAAAATCAGTTGAATAGATAAACACAATATAAGATAGTGTATAATATATGTTACTTAAGCTGATAGATATAAGTAGTATATTACAGCAAACAGTAGTGAAATGCCTACCAGCAAAAGATTAAAATGAAGAGAACATGAAGTAAATCGGAGAGCCATTGGAATAACAAAAGAATCAGAGGAATCATGAAGTATGTAAAAGACAAAGCAAACATGTGTAAATTTTCTGGTTAGCGTTTTTTTTATCGAGTCGCTAACCCCATGCCCAGCCCCCTTCCTTTATCCGGGCTTGGGACCAGCAGTAACCTCAGAGAGGCTTCAGGCTGAGTTATGATTTTTATATTTGACTAAAATATTTTAATTGTAGAATTAGATATTTACTTTTATCTCTTCAATATCTCTTATTTTCTACTGTTTATCAGATGTGATTGGTTGTAAACCTGGACCAGATTGTTATCGAATATGCGGACAAAAAAGTGGATGTTCAAATTTAGCCTATCCGAAACTTGTAATTAATATTATGCCATCAGGTTTGATGAAATAACCATTTTCCTTTTAACCAATTGAATTTCTTATTCATAATTTAAATACTGAATAGATATTCCTACAAAGTGTAAACAAATTATATAACTGTGTGTATCACCTATGAATCACTCTCTACTGTCTAATTCTCAAACTTTATCAAGTTGGCTATAGTTTTAGATCAACTGGGTAATCATTATATGTCTGAACTAAGTGAATGGCTTCTTTATTCTTGCTTAAACCGTTTCAGTAGGATTTACGCTTAACAGCACAGTAGATATCACTTAATGCATTCACGCCTCACCAGTATCGTCATTGGTTGTAAACTTGGACCAGTTTGTTTTCGAATTTTTGGACAAAAAGCTTGTGACTCAAAGCAATATTGACGCATTCCACACGGGATGCACATATTTTAACAAGAGACTGATCTATTACAGTCCTAAACATCAATGGGAAGATTCAGGTAAATAATATCAAGTGAATTTATACGTCAATCCATTGCACAAGCAAGTACCTGTTAGTAATCAGTAGCTAAGTTGATAACGCGATGGCGTTTGAAGCGAATGTTACTGGTTTTGAGTCCCGGAGTGAGCATCAATTCTGAGGTATAGGTACACCCAGCTGACGAGTCCTAAATAGGACGAAACGTGTCAAACTGGATTCCACTACTAGTCACTATCCATCTTTGCTTATAAAGCTTGTGATTTAAGGCAATATCGAGGCAGTATACACATGTTCCAATAAGAGACTGATCAATTTCAGTTCTTAACGACAATGGGATATAAGCAAATGTATCAAGTGAATCTAAAGAAGCAGATGCTCAAATTTAGCCTATCCGAAACTTGTAATTAATATTATGTCATCAGGTTTTATGAAATACGCTTACATTATTTCTATTCCACTGTCATCCTATTTATATTATTACCGTTTTTCTTATAATTAGTTGAATTTGCTATTCATATTTTAAATACTGATTAGATATTCCTATGAAATGTAAACAAATTATATAACTGTGTGTAGCGCCTATCAGTCACTAGATGATAATCAATATCTATCTGATATTTAATTCTCAAAGCATATCAAGTGAAATTGGTAAAACTTACAAAAATGTATCTTGAATATGTCGACTCAGGATACTGTTATATCTTGTGTCTGCAGATTAGACGGCAGCGAATTATCGATTGAACCAGTGACGCATAGAACACATGCGAACGGCCTAGAGTCCTGATTGGTCCTGATTCCTGTCTAGCCCAGCCAGTTGAGTCCAGAACACAAGTCTCAGCCTCTGCGATATGAATCATTATATTTCAAACTTATTCTGTTTATATACCAATCAAGCAGACCACAACGTATTAATAAAACAGAAAATAACATTTGTACGATATTTGGCCAACGGGAAAATGGCACGTAAAATAAATACTGACCAGTAGGGAAACGACACGTGAAATAAGTATTGAGCAATAGGAAAATGATGCCATTCCAAGTTGAAGGATAGCATTAAACTTAACAGGATAATTTTTGGGATATTTTTCTGAATATCCCAACAGATACAATATTATATTGATAAAGAATTTGTTTCTTTAATAAAACACTTTCCAACTATAAAGTAATGAAGAATATCTTCAGCTTCATCATTATATATCGTTTACTTCAGGATATGTGAATGTAATGTCAAACTTTATTCACAAATTCGATAGGTTTAACCACTAGATTTCAATGCCATAACAAAATGAATACTCGAAATAGAAGACTGAACTGATTTAATGATCTATTGATCATGTATATCATTCAGTGTTCGTTATGCTAGTTGCCTAAGACCATAAGTATTAGGTTTATTTATTACTATACATTTTGTTATGGTAAAGGATTCTCAGCACCACCTGTACAGTAATGGAACAAATTTATGTTTGTTATACATTGATGTCATGATTGCTCAAGAATATGTTTTATCATCATTTACAAGCGTCTCCCATTGATCACAGAACACGAAAGTTGTTTACCAGTTCAGACGCTATATGACGACTTCATTATTAAACATCCTCAAGTTATATAATGAAATAATCAACTATGAATTCATTCAAAGTTCCATGAGTGTCTACAATCTCTTCTACCTATGAAATGTCTTATTCAAAGTTGCCATTAAAAAGTGCATCACTTTGTTGGTATCAGAATTCAAAATGCAATCTTCATTGGTACACTGAATTATTGAAATGGAAATTCTGGTCCTGTCGATAATGTTCACTGGTATTCATGAGCCAATGAACGCTCAGAGACAAAAGAAAACTGTGAACACATTGAGGAAGTTTATCAAATATCGGAGAAGTGGGAAATATTTTGCAAAATATTTGTCAATTCATGCAAGCGCTACAACCATTGATAATCATTCTGCATTAAATTTCGTTGACAAAAATAATCCTATGTTTATTTACTTACTTTTCGATTAATTATCCTGCACTTCTTTCAATTCTAGGTCTTAGAGGTCTTATGTTGGCCGTGATGCTAGCTGCATTAATTTCTGATCTAACTTCGATTTTCAATTCTGCTAGTACGTTGTTTACAGTTGACGTTTATTTGAAAATTAGGAAAAAAGCAAAGAATATGGAGATAATGGTTGTTAGTCGGTAAGTTTGATTTCTTTATTTTTCGAATTCATGTTGTACGTCATTTAGGGTAGCTATTACTGACCGTGTTTCTTTGTAGCCATTTTTGAATTCACATAGCACATTTGAAACCACAACGATTGCTTGTAGGAGTGCTGTGAATAATGCATAGTTGATATAACTGATGTAGATCAAAAAGGTTTAAGAGATGAAACTTATAAGAACTGTGGTTATGTTCCGAACTAATAATTCTTCAATAGTTGACCCACAGCGTTTTCTAGCGAGTTAGTTTTCTATGGGATGGGGTCGCTAATCCCATGCCTAGCCCTCTTCCTTTATCTGGGATTGAGACTGACAGTAACATCGAAAGGGCTCCAAACAACTGTCAACTAACACCAAAGTCAGAATTTTCAACACAAATGTCAAGACAGTTCTACTGTATGGAGCAGAAACTTGAACAACCACGAAAGATCATCATCCAGAAGATACAAGTGTTTATTAACAGCTGTCTACGCAAAACACTTCGGATCCATTGACCAGACATTATCAGCAACAACCTACTGTGGGGAGAACAAATCAGATCACAGCGAAGGAAGAAATCAGGAAGAAGCTCTGGAAGTGGATAGGATACACATTGAGGAAAGCACCCAAGTGCATTACAAGGTAAGCAGAATACTGGTTGGTGGTCTATGCTCTACTGGGAGTAACAGGAGTACGTAAATTAAGTAACTAAGTAAGTTGATCCACAATCATGTGGAAAACAATAAAAATTGAAATCACATTTATAAAAATTTCAATAGTTTCTATGTTGTTTTGTTGAAGGCATTATTAATTTTCACATACCACAATCAACACACTTATCATTTATTGTTGTTGAGTCATAGAAACACATTGTCAATTCATAAATATTAAATTATTCCATTAATATATTTAATCAGATTAGTTTTCTGAATAAATTAACACTCCCCTCCACCGTATAATAGAGTTTCCATGCATTTTTTGTTGTTGAAAGTTTGTCCTACAATCCAGTATTGTTTTCATTGTGTTTTTTTCCAGAATATTTATAATTATATTAATATTATTGAGTATTGCATGGATTCCTGTCATTCAAGAATTACAAGGCAGTCAATTATTTATTTATATTCAAGCTATTTCAGCTTATCTTGCTCCACCTGTAGCTTCAGTTTACTTATGCGCTGTTTTAATTAAACGAACTACAGAAAAGGTAATTAATTATTATCTATTCATCAATTCGTTATTGTTTTAAACATTTGTTTTAAGCGTTAATAAGATACTACTGACTAACTTCGTGAGGGAATTCTCAGAGTTCTAGTGTGAAGCCGTGAACAGTGGAGTCAATCCGTGTCAGGTATCTACCTCAGTACAGTAGAAGATTGTTGCGCAATTTCGTGGAATGGTTAAGTCAGACATTAACGACGTTGGACGCCGGCTCAGTGGTCAAGGCCCTGAGTTTGAATCCTGCGAGCGGGATCATGGACGCGCACTGCTGAGGAGTGCTACAATAGGATGAAACGACTGTCCAGTGCTTCCAGGTTTTCAATGATGGTCTAACACCAATCAGTTCAAGGTGTGAATCAATACAATAAGATACTGACTAGATATCAAACTTTTTGTCAAAAGATGTTTGTAAACCCTACTATTGACTAATGACTAAAGAAAGCATAGTAAATAAACTTTGTGGTACTGGATCAACAGTACTCGTTTAGGAGCTACAAATCGGACAGTGTTCAGATTTGGTACAGAGTTTTAAATTCCCAATCTAATCCGGCTGTCATTTCTTATGTTTACTAAGCCATATCATGTTTCGACACACGATGGGTTAAAGGTGGCCATGTCACTATATAATAAGGTTATTAACTATTGATATGAGTGGTGTCGCAATGTCTAGGATTGCAGAATCGGGTCAAAAAGCTTTACAAAGTTGGCGGTTGAACATTACGCAAATCATTGATTTGGACCGCTCACAATATTTTTGATATGTTTACTTTTCATCCATATCCACTGGATATCGGCCTAATCATTATGTGAAGAACTAAACATGGGTAAAAACCAGGAGTCTAAATGTCATTTTTTAGAGTACAAATTTTGAACTTAATGTATGAGACATTTTAATCTGAAGTTTGTGATGTTGATTCATTCCGGATTGAGACAGAATTCCAACCAGTGATATTTTCTGTTAGTCAATCTCCATCATGTACTGGTTTATTCGAAAACGTGGACTATTTATTTCGAAATTAAGGGTTACTTGTCTGAATGTTCGTATGAAATCAAGTATATGAATTGCTAAGTATGACACAAATTAGAAATAGAAACTATCTAGAATGCCCTGACCCAGTACGTTATCAAGCCATACTGTCATAAACATTGGTAAAAGGATGCCCCAAATAGATATGCGCCACTTTTCACCATCCAATCTGTGTGAGAACTGGGTTATAATACTGCCCGGGCGCCCAGATCGAAGCAGGTGGTTTTATTAGAGGGCGACACCCAAAGCCTTCGACCTAAAGGTATAATCCACAAGGCATTGGAGTAACGTCAGGAGATGCAGTCCCATCGTAGCTGGTCAACAATAATTGATTCATACACCACTTATTCCTTCAGGATACTGGAGCCCATTTACACCATTGGTTTAGAATCAAGGTTTTCCAACTTCCCTAGATGGACTCTTCCTATCCATCAACCCAGTTAAAGGGCATGACATTTGCTTTTCCTCCTCTCAGTTTTGTAAACAATACTCCCACCGCGAGAAAGCAGTGAGTTGAACTTCTCTGGCACTGACTGAATACATGCGGTCATGTGAAAGCATTTCGAAAGGGAGATTTGTCTCTCCCCACCCTAGGCTGTACTAGTGCGTTTGGAGGCATTTTTATGACAATAAAATACTGTTAACATCTTTTTTAGAATTAAGCATGAAATTTTTAAACCTTTCACTAGAAACATTATTGTTTTAAATTCACTTGGTATTACTTGTTTGAATCTTCCCATTGGTGTTTAGGATTGAAATCGATCAATCTCTTATTGGTATATGTGCATACTGTGTGTATTGCTTTTATAAGCAAAGATGGATAGTGACTAGTAGTGGAATCTAGTTTGACACGCGTTTCGTTTTATTTGGGACTCTTCAGCTGGATGTACCTACATCTCAGAGTTGATGTTCACTCCAGAGGACTCGAACCCAGTATCGTTAGCTACTAAATCCATTACTAGCCATTATTCATTTTCTTTTTTGAAAGATATGTAAAAATCACATATTAATAAGTTATTATTATATCTAATAAAGTTTATTCAATTGTTGCTTAACCCATTTTTTTTTAATGTAAAGGGAGCATTTTATGGATTAATGTATGGTTTAATTATTGGTTTAATACGATTAATATTAACTATTATATATCATGAACCAATATGTGGTGAATATGATCATAGACCATGGTTTATTAAAAATATACATTATATGTATTTTGCATTATTTTCATTTATCACATGTGGTATTATTGTATGTTTATTATCATTAAATGAAAAACAATTAACTAATGAACAATTACAACATTTAACTTATTGGACTGCATGGGATAAATCCATTAATCATTCATTATATAATAATAGAACATTACATAATCATATTTCATCTAATGAAATGATTCGTAATAATATAGAGAATGTGATGAATGAGAATGATGTTAATATGATGATTAACAATATTCATTATCATCAATATGAAAATAATAATGAAATAATTAATAAAAGAGAAATATCATCAACTTCTGAATGTCAACAACAACAGCAAAAAGAATTTGTAAATAATCAAACTATGGAAGGTTTGTGTTTCAAGTGTTTTGTTTTATTCAATATATTATATAAATATTACTGGAATTTTACTGAGAAGTAATGACTAGTGAAGTTTAAATCGGGTCTGTTGTGAGATAATAAGTCATTGAAGACAATGTTGAACGGTATCGCTCAATTTCTTGGATCAGTTGAAGTTAGATATTAACATTGATGCATTCTGGTCAACTCAGTGGTTTAGTGGTTAAGCATTCACACGCTAGGCTAATGCATTCTGGGTGCGAATCTCATGAGGCAAGATTGTGGGTGCACATTGATGAGGAGTTCCACAAAATAAGACGAAACTGCCATCGAGTGATTCCAGGTTTTCCATGATGGTCTAGTTTTAATTGCCTTATGATCTCAACTATTGAAATTAATATAATATCCACAAAAACCCCTTGTGATATACAATATTTCCCGGTTTAAGATGATTTTTCAATTGATGTTAGTCGAAGATTAGTAAACAATCTTAAATTTACCGACTATTCAAGTTATTACTCAAGAATCAAATATTTTTACCAATGTTCTTCATAATCAGTTAAATTTCAATATTTTCATAATATAAAAGAATAACTAACAGTTATGTCATATATGTACACCATCATATTATTCTGAAGTATTCAGGTATAAATGAGATATTTTATGGATGAATTTAATGTTGTGTATTCAATAGATAATATGGAACTAATAGCTGAATGATAACTTTTGCATAACGTTACTATTTGTGATATTTTCCCGATGCGGAAAACTACCCGGTAATAGTGAGGTTAGACACAGGGTATTAGGGAATGATGGTAAATCAGTTGATGAGGTTGTGAATCTTCATCAACTGAGATGGTTGGGTCATGTGTTACATATACCTGAACACTGATTATCACGACACGCAATGCTGACTAGTTTTGGGGATGGTTGGAAGGAAGTTAGGGGCAACCAAAATTTTATTTATTTTAACACATAGATATTGGTACAAGGAGGCACCAAATACATATGCGCCACACAAATCTCATTTGATATGTGTGAGAGCTGTGATACTACCCGGGTGCCCAAACCGAAGTAGGTGGTTTTCTTAGGGTCCACTCCACGGGCCTTCGACCTGAAGGTCTGATCCACAAGGCAGTGTAGCATCGTAAGAAGATGCAGTCCCATGGAAGCCGGTGACCAACGACTGGTCCATACGCCATTTGTTCCCGCAGGATACTGGGGCCCATGTGCACCATTGATTTGGGATCCGGTTAAAGCGCCGGACATTCGCTTTTCGTCCTCTCAGTTTCGTAAACGACAGTATTGCCACGAGAAGGCAGTGAGTAGGACTTCCCTGGCAGAGGCTATATACACGTGGCCATGTGAGAGCATTTCGAGAGAGAGCGGACTCTCCCCACTCTCGACCGTACCAGGACATTTGGGGGTGGCGACCAAACCAAAACGTGGCATCAGTCCTTGAAGTCACTAACTTCTAGTCTTAATCATGTTGGTAGATGCATTCTACCTGGTTGTGGTCCGGGTGACTATCGTAAGCAATGGTTGTAGACTGTGAATGACATGGCTCAAAATGGATTATAACGGCATTGGTGTATGTATTCTTTGTCTTCCTTTAAATTATGAGATTAAAGTCGCTTCATATCTTCGTGCGAAATAATCGTTTCTTCCTGCATTATATCCTCATATGTAATACTTTCTTTTATATATTACTACCATTGACTTAACTGCTTTTATGAATTTGGTGTTCGTTTTGTTGTATTAATGAGTGATGTGTGGCAATTTGGACCGATACATATATATATGCCTGATCCTACGTTATAGCTGACTGATCTACTCATTTCATATATAATGATTGTACATCATAACTAAAGTCTATTCTGGTGAGAATTTTTTTCTTGTTTATTTATTATAGATCATGATTTACCAGATAAAAAAACACCTCAAACTTCATCATCATCATCATCAGATTGGTATAAAATTATGAAAAATATATGTTTATGGTTCTGCGGTTGTGCTGATCATCCATGTTCTAATATAGAATGTAATCATTGTTGTTGTTTAAAATTATGTCATAATTTCACTACTCATATACATCCAAATCATAAGAAAATTTATGTCATCACATCAAGTGATCTTAATATAGCTGATAATGAGAAAAAATTGGGCAACTTAGTATTGGAAGATGATAATAATTTCGATTCAGAAGAACATTATGCAAAGATTACTTCATTAAAACAAGATCCAAATGTAAAATTAGGTTTGTATATTGGTTTATTATTCATTATTATTTTATCTATATTTGGTTTTATATTTTTTTCTATTTATTTTGGTTCTATATCAGTTGGTCCATTACCTATTTCTATTGATAAGATGATGATAAATGATACAATAAAAAATGCTATAAAATCATTAGAACATTATGGAATAATTACAATACAATGAAGAGATCTTCTTTTGTTTTCATTCTTTTATGAGTACGAATACTATTGAATAGTATAGTTTATTAATAAAATGTTCGCAGCAAATTTGAAATTGATTATAGAAATGTTGTATCCTTTCTTTTTGCCATATTATACATATATATATATATATACATATACATAGATATACTTTCGTTTTCTTGCAATAAACAGATGGGTACCAAACAAGTTACTTTATTTATGAATGGGTTTGAACCAAAGCAGGCGGATTTCTTAGGGGGTCACACGCGGAATCTTTAACCTAATAGCTGATCTACAAGGCAGTGGAGCAATGTAAGGAGATTCAGTCCCATGATAGCCAGGTATCAACAATAGGTTTATACACCATTTGTTGTTTCAGAATTGTTAATTGAACGCTAGATTTGGTTCTTAAGCTCTTCTAGTAACCTCGAGGCTAGATCCACACAGAGATTTGAACACAAGAGAAAAAGCCCGAAATATGTAAGAAACACTTTACTCCAAAGGTTCGTTTATCTACAGAAAATCTAGGAATTTTATAGTATTTTAGATGTCATTGGATTTCCGGAAAATTTTGGAACGCTACTAAATATAGTGGCAGTATAAGTAATCATCCAATCAGAAAGTTGACATGTGACTTCACTTTCTAGATGTTTGTGACAAAACTCCTAGAGAACGCTGATTGGATAAGATGCTTCTCAATGTTTTCAGAGTCTTTCTTGGCTTTTTTCAAGGAATTTTCTGATACTCGTTACGAAGGGTCATGGAGCCCATGTGCACCGTTAGTTTGGAATCGGGGATTTCCATCTCCCCCAAGTGGATCGTCCGTATCTACCGATTCGGTTAAAGCGCCGGACATTAGCTTTTTGTTCTCCCAGTTTCGTAAACAACAGTAATGTGGCGAGAAGCCAGTGAGTAGGACTTTCCTAACAGTGTTTGTGTGTGAGAGCATTTCGAGAGGGAGAGCTGACACTCCTCACTCTCAGCCGTACCAGGTCATTTGAAGATTAACCAGATATAGATGCATATTCACTACACTTAATCTACAAACTGCATGGATGTATGGCGTATCAAGACTTTATTTGCCTTTATTGAATTCATGAACACTTCAATTAGATTAAATGGTTTCATCGGCGAGGCTGCAATCTATGTACGAACCAATCAGATATAAAATAATAGATCTCGGATTGTGGCGCGAAATTCGTTCACCCTCAATCTAATTTCTAACCTTAACCATAAATCATAATTCGAATTCCTCACACTAATTTATAACCCACATTTGGTCCTAGTTAACAGGTGGACACTCTCAAGGTGACTTTAATGTCGTCCAAAGGATGTCCACAAATTATAGTCTCACTGTTTCATCAAAGTCGATTTATAGAGTTTAGTCTGGTCGACGTTTTTTAGCAAGACTTTTTCCTGACAGTTAGGGTTGCAGACCCTATGCCCAAACCTCCTTCTTTAACCGTGCTTAGAACTAATAGTAACTCTGAAAGCGCTACAGGCGGCTTATGCTTCTCCATAAGGAGTAACAGGCGTAAGTAAATAAGTAAATAAACTTACATAGAAATAAATAATTCAATCAGTGTATATCCATTTTTGCATATGAAAATCATATTAAAATTGAACATAACTAATCAAATTGATTTGTGACCATTCATATATCTCAAATATATTAGTATTAATATGAATAAACACGTATATAATGAATTGCTTTATAAGATTAAGAAAATTGTTCTATTTTTCGGTGTCAACGTTTTATTACACGTGATCGCTGAATGTTTTTGTTGTCGATAAACTTGGCATTACTTCATAAAAGTAGTTTAGTTAAACAGATTACAGAGAGAGTTAATAATATTGATTTCTTATTCATCATTTATTGAAATGTTTCCATCATAGAGTATTAGTATTGTCAACCTTGAACAATCAGAACTGTTAAAAAAATTTTTGTTAATATTTGCTATCTAATCAAATACATTTGTGTTAAAGTGATTAATTATAAAACTTCTATAGTGTATTGATCAAATGTAATTGACCTCTATAAATATGATTTAAACAATCGAAGCTTGTAGATAGAGAAGAACCTACAACTTTGTCATTGATTGGCGTTTAGGTCTCCCATCAGGATGATCAGGTCGTTTCCTGAGCACTTCGCTATGATTGATTTCATTTTCTCGTAGAATTGATTTTTATTGCTGTCGTTTCTATCAGGTTTGAGAACACAAAAATGCTTACCGGCGTCCGATAATGGTGTACTTTCTTGACTTAAAAGTTACATTTGACTCTGCAGACCGAGAGGTTCTGTATCAGTGTCTGTCATTGAAAGGCATACCTCAGAAGTACATAAACCTTGTAAAGGCTCTTTACTCGAACACTAATAATCGAGTGAGAGCTTATGGTGAACTGTCATCTGATTTTGCAATCTCAAATGGTGTCCGTCAAGGCTGTCCACTATCTCAATTTTTGCTCAGTTTCATCATAGACCTACTACAGGAAATAACGTTCTCGTCGACCGAATTCTCGGGCATTGATCTCCCTCCAGGAAGTCCAAGTATCGATCTAAAATACGCAGATAACATAGTCCTGCTTGGTAAAGACGCTGATAAAATGTAGTCTTTTAATAGCACTGAACAACAATTTTAGGATGTTTGGGATGCGTTTCACACCCTCTAAATGCAAGTTTTTGATTCAGGACTGATCTGCGTCAATACCTGAACTAAGGATAGGGAGTGAAGTAGTCAAACACGTCGACAACTTCACTTATCTTGGAATTATGATTAGCCGTAATGGGTTATTGCCCGAAGAAATATCAGCGTGGATTTGAAAAGCTCGTTTGGCTTGTGTCAACTTACGTCACCTATGGCGAGGGAGAGATACCCGTCTATCAATTAAGGGACGAGTGTACTGTGCGGCAGTTTGTTCTGTTTTATTTTACGGTCATTAAGAGTAGAAGATACTCGTAATTTACTAGTATTTGATGACAGATGCCCTAGAAATATTGCTCGCATCTGTTGGGACCACCGGGTAAGTAATGGTGAGGTAAATCGGTTGATGAGGCTGTGAATCTTCATCAACTGAGATGGTTGGGTCATGTGTTACATGTACCTGAACACTGATTATCACGATACGCAATGCTGACTAGTTTTGGGGATGGTTGGAAGGAAGTTAGAGGCGACCAAATCAAAACGTGGCATCAATCCTTGTAGTCACTAACTTCTAGTCTGAGCCATGTTGGTAGATACATTCTACTTGGTTGGGGTACGCGTGACTATCGTAACCAATGGTCATAGACTGTGAATAACATGGCTCAAAATTGATCGCAGTGACGTAGGTTTATACACTCTTTACCTTCTCTTAAACTCTGAACTCTACGAACTCATTCTTTCTTCTTGCATTATATCCTTATACACAATCTTTCTTTTATATATTACTACCATTGAATTAACTACTTCCATGAATTCAGTGTTCTAGAATTCATTATCAACAAAATCATAATCTATTTTAAACGAAGGTAAACCTGAATTGATGGTATATGTTTTATTTCTTTAACTAATATAACACTGACGCAGTTTATTTGTCATTAGTTTTTAGTGTATTCTAATAATTATCATAATAGTATAACCATGAAATGTATGATAAACTAAATTATGATTAGTCTGCTTTGTGAAAGTTTCTGCTGATAACATGCAGTTTTTAGTGGCTTTGTATCATTAATCAATCACTTCGATAACTGTTGTTATACTATAAATTCTCAACGATATTTAAAATCAGATAGTAATGAGAAGCGCCAACTACAGTTTATTAGCGGATAGCGCTGATTATAAAGCTATATGCACATCGAGTGAATTTGAAACGGAGAGACGAATATGTATATACGAGTAATTACATAGGCAAATTTATAGTCAAATTGCATAAGAGAGCAGCAAGACAAAAGACGGACTAATAATAGGATATTAGTACATATATACATAGAGAGAAGGATGATATTTAAGCGATCAACATTTTAGCTAAAGTATTTCATATGATCTAGTGATTATAGAATAGTACAAAGAAATAGACGAATTGTTACTATCCAAATAAGATTATCTATTAAGTAAGTTAATGCAAAAGGGTTTAACCAATATTTAACCATATAAATGCAGTTCTAAATGATCATTCATTTAGAAGCTTCTACCCCAATGTAATGGTTGCTTTTCAGTGTTCTCAAGGACCACTGTCATTGGAAGATTGTAAGGCATGTTGCCACTGCTAACATTAATGAGTTTAACTGTCATGTAAAAGTGGAATAGGTTAACTTTGGCCTGTTCGTGCTGTGCATAATTGATTCACATGATCATTGATCAGAATAACTATACATATGACGTGAATGTGTATATGAATAGTGCGAACAGTCCATTAGGGTGCTTGATACCCGTGTGATTGCGCCTCAGGATTGAGCTGTAGCGTTAAAGCCTATACGGTGTCTGGTTCTCCTGTAAAGCGGGATTGAGTCGTACTATTTGAGCTACGAATTTTAAGCATGGGCGGTTTCTGGCTCTCCTGTTAAACGGGCTTGAGCTGTACTGTTTAGATTGTCACGTGAAAGTCTGGATAGTGTCTGGTTCTCCTGAAAAGCGATGTAAAATTATCCTGACCCACAAGAGTATATTATGTAACTAACCTAAATGCAAAAACACTATAAAAAACACGTTCAAACTATGGTAAATTTTACAATCAACCTATAAGTCTGTAGTTTGTTATACTTGTGTGTGTTATGTCATCTTATTCAGTTTTTAATACGTAAGGGTATACGAATAGTTAAAATAGTTTTACTCATTAGTTTATCTATTAATAATATGGCTAACTAACCAAAATAAGAATCAGTTAGTTAAGAAAATCTTTATTTTGACCGTTTATATCAATGAATTTCTGAATATAATAGTGAAAACTATGTTTATAAATCCATACAAACACTTCTTATAAATATATCAGTCAGTCAGTCAGTCAACAACGCAAAACTTCGTACGTACGCACATACATCAGTTCAAGTTGCAATATCACATAATCCTCAAGTTTAGTTTGAGAACTATTATTATTGTGGTGGATCAATATAAAATCCTACTTAATATAAGCTTATTGTCTATTGACATTCATTAGCAATGTGAATTTTCTGATTCAAAGAAACTAGTGCTTCCTTTACGATATTGAATGTTAGGAGTTCGATAAGTGTGAATACGAA